CTGCTCTGGGTCATGGGACAGCTTTCAAAAGATCTTGAGCTTTAAACTGAAGAGTTTCACCTACAGCCTCAGCACTGAGGTCCAAGTGATATTGCTTAGCTTTTTCTTGGAACACAGCGTTAAAAGTCTCCTGCAGGATCCGCCTTGCTGTCATACTTCTGTGACCCGGAGCCCACCGTGCGGAGCCGACCTAGCTATCGCCGCCTCAGACCCTTCACTCTCTGTTGCTGCCCTTTCCTGACTTCTTCCTTATTTTTCTCAACTCCATTGTATAGTGTTTTGATACATTTTATAATCATTTTTATGAATTCCTTGTCTGGCCTTTCCAAAGCCTGCCCTCCTTCCAGTATGGCGTGTAGGTCAACCTCCAACTCATTTGTCTAACTCACTTTATCTTGTTTTCGGACATGTGCTGATATGGTCGTCTGTTTTTGCTTCTTGGACATATTCAGTCGTTAGCTGTAGCCTTAATACTTAATTGAGTGTGTGTTTTGGTATTTTTTATGCTTTCTGATTGCCTCCAGGTAGATGTGATCAGAAGATGGGCTTCCCTTTTCACTCTTTTCATTACTTAACTTAGAGTAGCCTTTGCGGGTGTTGTCTGCCTTCCTGGTATATGGTAGTTGGTATTGGTTCTTGCTTGGATTGTGGGTTTTTATAGGGTGTGATTGTAGCTTGAGTATATGACAGCAATTGCTGTCTTTTCTTGGTAATATAGGGAGAGAAAAGGCCCCCTAAAGGTAAAAGGGGAACAAAAAAAAAAACAAAACAGTAAAAAAAACCCATATTGGATACTATAATCTATAATCACAGAAAAGAGAGAAGAGAGAAAAACCCCAAATCTGTGGCCCAATATGAGTGTGACTTTAATATCCTCTTTCAGCTTCTTGCCTTCAAGGCCGCCTGAGAAATTTCAAGATGCCGCTGCTGGTTATTATGATGAAACTCAGGATTTAATTTTCGGCCTGTTTTGTTTTTAGTGTCTCTCCCACTCCACAACCCCTGTTCTGGCCTTTTTCCTAATAATAAACAGTTCAGGGCTGGCTGTGGCCAGTTTGCACTGCCATATTTTTAAGTGGGATGTGCCCCTTTAAATGCTGAGAGGCTCTGTGCGCAGGTGTAGTAGAAGAACCCTCAAGTGGTGAGGTTAGGGGGGTGTCCACTCACTCAGGCACCCCATCTAGTCACCAGAATGGAGGTGTGCAGACAGTGAGAGGCCAATGAACAGATACCAAAAAACAAACAAACAGAACAAAACAAAAATATTGTCTACACCTTTGTCTCCGAAGTTTCTGCCGGTTGTCAGTCTGTGGCAGGTCTGCTTGCTCCTCCATTTGGTCTTGCTGTTTGGTCTCTCCCAAGTTGGCAGCTCTGGGCTGCTGAGCCTGGCAGGTTTGAAAGTATGTGAGATTTCTTGTTTCTGCTGCAAATCCCATTAGCTATAAGGCTTCAAACCTTTCAAATATGCCTATATATGTGGTTCAGAGTTTTGGAGCTCTCCCCTGAACCCATTTCATCTGGTATTCTGTGTTCTTGCTGATGGAGATCTTCACTGCACTTCTACCCTATTTGCTATCAAGCCCCTCCTCTCTTTCATCATTCTTATTCAATATGTATGCTGAACAAATAATCCGAATAGCTAGATTATATGAAGAAGGACATGGCATCAGGTTTGGAGGAAAGCTCATTAACAACCTGCAATATGCATATGATACAACCTTGCTTGTTGAAAGCCAAGAAGACTTAAAGTACTTATTGATGAATATCAAAGACCACAGGCTTCAGTACAGGCTGCACCTCAATGTAAAGAAAATAAAAATCTTCACCACTGGACTAATAACATTTGTATAAATGTAGAAAAGATCAAAGTTGTCAAAGACTTCATTCTTGGGGGATCAACCATCAACACTCATGGAAGCAACAGTCAAGAAACCAAATGATGTGTTGCATTGGGCAAATCTGCTGTACGAGACCTCTTCCAAGTGTTGAAGAGCAAAAGTGTCTGTTTGAGGACTAAGATGAGCTTGACCCAAACCATGGTATTTTCAATAACCTCATATGCATGTGAAAGTTGGATGGTGAATCAGGAAGACAAACAGTAGAAGAATTGATACATTTGAGTTATGGTGTTGGTGGAGAATGTTGACAGTACCACACACTCAAAAAGAACAAATAGATCACTGTTGGAAGAAGTATAGCCAGAGTGCTCCTTGAAAGTCAGGATGGACAAACTTTGTCTTTCATACTTTGAACATATTGTTAGGAGGAACCAGTCACTAGTGAAGGATATCATGTTTGGTAAAGTGGAGGGTGGGTCGGAAAAAAAGAATTGTTTGACATAGTGGCAGTATCAGTGGGCTCAAAAGTAGGAACTATTGTGAGGTTGTTCCAGGATCAGGCAGTGTCTCGTTCTGTTCTGTATAAAGTCGCTATACGTTGGTACCAACTTTAACAACTTGATGGCACTTACCAACAGCAACAAAACAGCTCAAAAAAAAAAAAAAATTTACTTAAAAAATATTAAAAATTTTAAATGTTTGAAACAAAGTATGTATGAATTGTTGAATGGAAAACGTATTTGTTCTACAGACCTTCACCCAATTCACAATTTTAAAAAAGTTTAAAATAAGTAGAAAATAAAATGCTCAAAGGCTGTGAACACATAGTTTACTAGGGAGCAACTCAAATGGCCAATAAATACATGGAAACCTCACGAGAAATCCAAAAATGTCAAGTTATATAATAAAATATCTTATTTGTCAGGTTGGCAAAAATTGAATTTCAGTTCCCTAGTTGTCTAAAAAAAAAATATGTCTTATTAGAGACTTGGTTTGCTTGCTCTAGGGTGGAAACAAGGTTTTTAAAATTCTAATTGATTGTTATGGTTTATAAGGAGCTCTGGTAGCGTAGGGGTTATGAAACAGGCTGCAAACTTCAAGGTCAGCAGTTCGAAACTACCAGCTGTTCCGCGGGAAAAGATGAGGCTTTCTGCTCCGGATTTACAGCCTCAGAAGCCCTGTACAGGGTCACTATGAGTCGGAACCGACTCCACGGCACATAACCACCATTATGGTTTATGTTGTTGTTGTTTGGTTGTTAAGAGCTTTTGAATCGGTTCTGACTCATAGTGACCTGGTATAGGGTTTCCGCAAAGTGGCTGATGAGCTTGAACCGCCTACTTTGTGGTTCGAACCGACGCAGTAACCTGCAACTCCGCACCCGGGACTCATACGGTTTATTGTTGTTAAGTTCCGTCGACTTGTGACTCATAAAGACCCTGTATAGGGTTTCAAAGGAGCGTATTAACCCACAGCGCCACACCAGGATCAATTCCTCTTTCTCCTTCTAGGTAATTTAATTGAAGAAATGGATCACTTGTGCTGTAGAATGGTCCCCATTCCGGATTTGGACGATTGTAGCTGCTGTTAGTCATTTCCCGCCTCCCCCTCCAATCCCTGTATTTTCCTGCAAACTGACGGTTAGATCTATGGTTAGATTAGCTGCAAGCTCAAGGTATCTTGGCTGGAATCCATCACAGGTTGAGTCAGCGACTTCCTGATACTAAAAGAGATTGGCGACGCGTTGGCGCTCCATTCTAGGTTCCCCACCAAACTTTCATCTCCTCATCATAGAGTCTTTGCATACCTGTAGACTGCATCCATCGCTTGGGCAAGGAAGTGTAAAGTGATTTTCCAATTCTCTCATTTCCTCCTCATTTAGTAGCTGGACTTTTGAAAACAATTTTTCCTTTTCAATGAAAAATATTCGGGAAGGACACGCTTCACACTTCCCTTTATTTAAACTTTTCAACATGAAGAGCTGGGACCTTTGCTGTGGACGATGCGGTCAGTTTCGGGTATAATCGTGATTACAAAAATTTATATGTACTGTGTGTCCAATCAATTGCAGTCATTATTCTTGTTGAGGCTGGTGAAAGTTTTGTAGGCATGGGTTGCTTTTTACAGTAAAGTTAAAAAAATACAAACAACTTCAGTAGGTCACAGAGAGTTTCCGGGTAGAGGGGAAGTGGAGACAAAGATTTTACCGGTGGACCGAGTTCTCTAGTCCGAGGTGTGCGGTCAGAGGCCAACGGGGTCCAGGCAGGGCGGGGCGCAGGGCGGGGCGCAGGGCGGGGCGCTCGCGCTTTTGCGCGCGGTGCGGCGGCGGCGGCGAGCGCGGGCAGAGCGCGGGCAGAGCGCAGCGCGCGGCCTCTGGAGCGCGCCAACGCGGTCCTAGCAGGAGCCCGCGGTCCCTGCTTGCGGCCCGCAACCGACACCTGGCTCCCGGCGCTCGCACCCCGCTGGCGGAGGATGGGCGCGCTTGCTTGCGGCGGGCCTGGGGCCCGGACTACGTTCGCCGCGCCGGGACTGCTATTGCTGCTGCTGCTCGGACAGATGGCCCCAGGCTTGCAGGCGGCGCGGGGCCGCGGCAGCACGGAGAAGAACAGCTACCGCCGTACCGTCAACACCTTCTCACAGAGCGTCAGTAGCCTTTTCGGCGAGGACAACGTGCGCGTAGCGCAGAAGGTGGGCGCCCGGTCCGCGTCTGCGGTCACCTTGCCTCGGCCGCCGCGCACCTGGCGCTCGGAGGCCGCCTTTGGCCGCGCGCGGCCTCCGGGACGCAGGAAGCGGGTAGTGGGCTCGGGGCGGGGTGCCAGGCCCGAGAGGGTCGGGTAAGGGCGGTTGGTTCCAGCGCGGTATCCGGGTTCACTGCCTTTGGAGTGCCCTCTTCGCAGAGCCACACTTCTCCTTAGACCTTGCCCCCTGAGGCTGCGTGACCGGGCCTCGCTTGGGCGGCGCTGACCTGCGCGCCTGCCATTCATTCATTCATTTACACGTTTGCTGAGGACCTACTATGAGCTAGGCACTACGCCCGGCCAGGGCCTGCCATCTAGAGCTCGTGCCTCCTCCCCAGCCAGCCTTGCTTTCTTCTAGCCTCGCAGCCGACCCACTTCCCTAAGGCCTTCTCCAACTCTGCTTTCAAGATATTTGAGCTTATTTTTCCCTTAATAGGGAAAGAAAGGGCACACGCTCTGGTGCTTTGGCAGCATGGTACCCCTACATAGTGCCAGGCCTTTCGCATAGAGTGACTTGATCACTTTGGAACTGTCTAGGAACCTGCAGCCGGGTTTTATTTATCCTGATCCGCCTCCTGGAGATGGGTGGGACAGGTGTACCATTCGGCCAAAGTTCGAGGAGCCCTAACCTAGAAAGGAGAAGTAGCTGGGGACAGTTGCACGTGGTAATGCGGTTCCCTGCTAAGAATTCCTTTGTGTGGCGCTATAGGATAAGCACTGGACTGGTAACTTAAAGGTTCTCGGTTCTAATCTACCAGTCACACCTCCGAAACCCTCCACCTGGTGGCTTATGAGTCTCACTGACTTGAGGGCACTTAACAACAACAATCCCAGCCCTTGGGTTTTGGAATCTAGGGAAGGTTAGGTTAGGTTCAGGTCCTGGCTATAGGCAACGTCTGTATCAATGGGATTATACTTGATACTCCTTTGATATGAGGTTAGAACAATGAGCCCTTTTTTATTATCCAGAATAATGGGTATTGCTATTATTTTGCTTAAAACAACAAATTTTTTCTCTCTCTGTTCTGAAGGATAGGGTGTGTGCATGCGTTTTCTCTCTTCCTGAAGGCCCTGCTTGTCTCTTCTAGCTTCTGGTAGCTCCACGTGTTCCTGGCTTGTGTCTCCGTTTCCATCTTTTCAAAACCGCCATCTGTCTGTGCCTCTTTTTTGTTGAGGATGACTGCTTTTATTGTTAAGGATCCTTGGTGACATAGTGGATTAAGCATTGGACTGCTAACCATAAGGTCAGCAGTTCAAACCTACCAGCTACTCTGAGGGAGGAAGATGAGGCTTCCTGCTGGTGAAGATTTACAGCTTTACAGTCTCATAACTCCTATGGGCAGTTGGACTTTGTCTTGTAAGCTCGCTATGAGTGAGAATGGATTCCTGGCGGTGGGTGCGTCTTATTGCTAATACTAATTTCTGGACTAATTGTCCTACTGGGGGACTTCTTTCAGAGTTCAAAATTTTTTTACTGGTGTCTGAGAAAGGGGCGTGGGATGGGGAAGGGAAAAGAAACACGAAAGCCAAATCTGTTTGGGTGTTCTTACAAGTCAAAATGGCAGACAGGTTGATTTGTTAGGGAAATTCTAACTTCCTCAGTCCCCTGGCTCTCTCCTGCCAGGGGGTGTGTCTTGTAGAGGTTGTGGGTCTGCACCTTCTTACTTGTGAGGTTCTGTGAGGGTGAACTCTTGAGCTTAGTTAGGAAGAAGAAGCTTGGCTGAAAACTTGAATATAAAGGGTTACCTTCCAATCCTGGGGGGCTTGGCCAGGAGGTTGCGTATCTTTCTATGCAGATGTGGGAATGATTTGATTTAGGGCAAATAGAAGTTGGTCAGATTCCTTCTGGGCAAGCTCAGGACTCCCTGATTTTCAACTGAGAATCTAAGCGAACCTCCGAAAGGTCAATGGAGACAAAAGACAGTGTGGATAGTTACGGGCTTCGTTTTTGGGTTGGTATCAAGGAGAGATCTATATGCTGGCCAAGAATCTGAGGAACAGGGTCCAAACTCTTTCTGGGCTAAGCCAGTGTTTTTGGATGCTCATAGAGATGATGATAATCTTTGCCAAGAATATACTAAATGCTTTTATAGCTCTAGTAACTCATTTAATCCTTACAACAGCACTTTACAGGCAGACTGCAGTGTTCTTCCCATCTGGTTTTCAAACTCCAGGTCTTTGCACATTTCATTATAATACTTGACTTTATCAAGTATTATAACTCTCGTAGTGTAGTGGTTACGAATCAGGCTGTGAACCACAAGGTCAGCAGCTGTTTCCGCCGGAGAAAGATGAGGCTGTCTGCTCCAGTAAATGTTTACAGCCTCGGAAACCCTGTACAGGGTTGCTATGAGTCAGAACGGACTCCACGGCACATAACCACCACCACCGCTTGACTTTATCTTCATGAGCTGCCCTTTGAAAATTTCTGTTCAGCTCTTTTACTTCCTCATGTCTTCCATTTGCTTTAGAATCTCTATGCTGGAGAACTTGAGCTTCAGAGACTCTTCCAATCAGTTCCAGACCACAGCAATAAGGCAAATCGCACGATAAAGAAAATCCCACGAATATTTTGGCTTTCCATTGGATATCGAAGTTATGTTGACTCTACACTATGGTCTGTGAAGTGTGCCGAAGTTGTTGTTGTTGTTATGTGTCATGGAGTCGGTTCCGACTCATAGCGACCCTGTACAGGGTCGTATTTGTTGGGCGTCATCGAATCAGTTCTGACTGAGCGACCTTATGCACAACAGAATGAAAGAATATCTGGTCTGGCACCAACTTTACACTCACTGTTTCTCTTGAGCCCATTACTGCTGCCACAAGTGTGCCAGTCCATCTCATTGGGAGTCTTCGTTTTTTTTTCGCCGACCATCCACTTTACCGAGCATGATGTTCTCCTCCAGGGTATGGTCCCTTCTGATAATATGTCCGAAGTATGAGAGACAAAGTCTTACCACCCTGGCTTCTAAAAAGCATTCAGGTTATGCTTCTAGCATAGATCTGTTTGTTCTTCTGGCCAGTCCATGATTCTTTTAATAATCTTCTACAACACCATAACGCAAGTGCAGCAATTCTTCTATGGTCTTATTCATTGCCCAACTTTCACATGTATATGAAGCTATTGAAAATACCATGGCTTGGGTCAGGTGCACCTTAGTCCTCAAACTGACATCTTTGCTATTAAATACTTTAAAGCGGTCTTGCACCACGGATTTGTGTAATTCAATACATCATTTGATTTCTTGACCACAGCTTCCGTGAGTGTTGATAGTGAATCCAAGCCAAATGAAGGCTTTGTCAACTTTCGTCTTATCTCCATTTGTCGTGATGTTATTTTTCTTCTAGTAAGGATTTTTGGTTTCTTTACATTGAGGTGCAATCCATACTGAAGGCTGTGGTCCTTTTATCCTCATCAGTATTTTAAGTCCTCTTCACTTTCAGCAAACAAGGTTGTATCATCTGCATATTGGAGGTTGTTAATGAGTCTTCCTCCCATCCTGATACCACATTTGTCTTCCTATAATCCAGCTTCTTGGATTATTTGCTAAAATACAAATTTAGTAAGTATGGTCAAAGAACACAACCCTGGCGCACACCATTTTTTGAGAAATGCTGAGTGTGTTTTCCCTTTGGTTTCCTAATTGCAGTTCTTTGCACATTGCCTTATCATATTTGACTTGGTTTTCACGAACTGCTCTTTAATATTTTCTGTTCAGCTCTTTTACCTCCTCATTTCTTCTATTTGCTTTAGCATCTCTCTGCTGGAGACCAAGGTTCAGAGTCTCTTCTGATACCCGTTTTGGTCTTTTCCTTCTATGTTATCTTCTTAATGGCCTTTTACCATTTTCCTGTATGATGTTTTTTATTTCATCCCACAGCTTTTCTGGTCTTCAATCATTAGTGTGTAACGCACGTATCTGTTACTGAGATGATCTTTAAATTCAGGTGGGATATGTTCAAGGTCATATTTTGGCTCTCGTGGACTTGTTTTCATTTTCTTAAGCTTCAGCCTGAACTTACATATGATCAGTAGATGGTCTGTTCCACAGTCTGCCCTTGGCCTTATTGGGGCTGATGAGGTTGAACTTTTTCACTGTCTTTTCCCACAGATGTAGTCAGTTTGATTTCTGTGTATTCCTTCTGATGAAGTCCATGTGTATATTGTCTTTTATGCTGTTTAAAAAAAGGTATTTGATTTATCACCAAAGTCATCTTTTCCAATTACTTTGTTTCCAACCTTTGCATTTTATCACCAGTAATTTTTAATATATCTTGATTGCATGTTTGATCAGACTGAAGAAGTTGGTAGAATTCTTCAATTTCATCATCACTTGCTTTAGAGGATGGTGCATAAATTTAACGAGGTGGATTAGCTAAGTGGCAGCATCAGTGGACTCAAGCCTGGCAACAGTAGTGAGGTTGGCCCAGGATCGGGCAGTGTTTTGTTCTGCCAACCATAAGGTTGCTATGGGTCGGTACCGACTCGATGGCACCTAACAACAACAGCAAGTATTAGCTGGTCTTCCTTGTAGATGTATGGATACTATCCTATCACAGACAACACTGTATTTTAAGATAGATATTTTAATGTTCTTTTGATGATGAACGTGATGCCATTTCTATTTAATTAGTCATTCCCGGCATAGTACAGCTTGTAACTTGTTGTTGTTGTTGTTAAGTGCCGTCGAGTCGGTTCCGACCCATAGCGACCCTGTACAGGGTTTCCGAGGGTGTAAATCTTTACGGGAGTAGAAAGCCTCATCTTTCTCCCGCGGAGCGGCTGGTAGTTTCGAGCCGCTGACCTTAAGGTTCGCAGCCCGATTCGTAACCACTACGCTACCAGATGCAAAATGACCAGTATCAGTCCATTTCAGTTCACTAATGTATAATCTTTATACATTCGATTTCGTTTTTGATAACTTCCAATTTTCCTAGATTCTTACTTTA